GCATGATCTTGGGCAAATGGTGAAATTTCCGTGCCCCAGTTTCCTCTCCTGTGCAGTTAGGGCATCTGCCCAGGGGTGACTGTGTGGATGGACCACGATCGTGTGTGCGGGATGTTTGGAGCAAGGTTCAGCACAAGGCGTGCACTCAGAAAGTGTCCTCTCCAATTACCTGTGAGGCTCTTGGCCCTTATCTCTGACAAGTTACTGTGTCATATCAAGATACCAGGTCATGAGCCATAACACATTGAGACTGCTTTCTGCCTGTAATTGCAATTTAATTTAATTAGGCCCATCTAGTCCTTTTACTGCTAGAATATAAACCTTAGAGACTATTCATTCCAACCCCCTCATTTTATAGCTGACAAAACCACAAGGCACAGAGAAAGTATGACTCATGAAAGGCCTCTGGGCGTATTACTTTAACACGTAGATTGGAACCTCTGTGCATTGCTGACGAACATGCAGAATGGCAGAGCCACTGTGGAAGATGATTTGGTGGGCAGGCCTTCAGAAAATTAAACATACAACTACCATACAATCCAGAACGTCTACTTCTGGATATATGCCAAAAAAAAAAAAAACGGAAAGCAAGAATTCAAACAGATATTTATATACTACTGCTCAGAGCAGCATTATTCACAAGAGCCAAGCAAACCAAGTGTCCATCGCAGATTGGTGGATAAATAAAATGTGGTAATACACATGGTGGAATATTATTCACCCTTAAAAAGGAAGGAAATTCTGACACATGTTACAACATGGATGAACCTTGAGGGCATTTTGATACGTGAAATAAGCCAGACAGAAAAGGACAAAGATCGTCGGAGGTATCCGAAGCAGTCGATTTATGGAGACAGAAAGTAGAATGGTAGTCACCAGGGTCTGCAGGAAGGTGGGATGGGAAGTTAGTGCTTAATGGGTATGAAGTTTGAATTTGGGAAGACAAAAAGGTTCTAGAGATGGATAGGGTGATGGTTGTACAAAAGTATGAATGTACTTAATGACCTTGAACTATTGAACTGTACACTCAAAAAGGGTTAAAATTTCCACATGAAAATGAAACATAACATATAAAAACCTATGGAAGGTCAGATGTGGTGGCTCACGAGTATAATCCTAGAACGCTAGGAGGCCGAGGCAGGAGGATTGGTTGAAGTCAAGGGTTCCAAACCAGCCTGAAGACAGAAAGAAAGAGAGAGAGAGGGAAAGGAAGGGAAGGGAAGAAAGGAAAGAGGACGGGAGGGAGGAAGGAGAACGGAAGGAAAGAGAGAAAGAGAAAAATTAAAAGAAAGAAAATTTAGCCAGCTGTGGTGGCGCATGCTTGTAGTCACAGCTACTCAGGAGGCTGAGGCAGGAAGATCACTTTGAGGTTGCTGTGAGCTAGGATGATACCACTGTACTCTAGCCCAGGCAAAATAGTGAGAGGAAAAAAAAAACCCACCACCAACAAAACCTGTGGGATAGATTGAAAGTGTAATAAGCAGAAAGTTAAGAA